TTCTGATTTTAACTATGGGGTGCTACAGCCCAACCAAGCCTGATCCACATCCAGACACAGCTCACACATGGCTCAGCAGGGTTAGAGAACTAGCCCAACTTATCCTACACCTGCCTTGGTATTTAGGAGCACCAGTGGCTGGGAGATTCAGACACATGCAGCTTTGCCCAGACTATTTATCTGTAAGATGATTGTTTTGAGTCTGTCTTTGGAAAATAAAATATCACTACATATTTAAAGACAGTTAACTACTTTATTTCTGGTGATGCAATTTATTCCTTCAACTTGGTTTATTCCCAAATTTCTATGTAGTGCTTGTAGTCTCTGTTCAGGCATGAAAAAAAAAAATCTTTCCATTTTCTGAGTAGATTTCAAACAGGAAAAGACCCATACCAAGGGAAAAACCATCACCACGGATATACAAAGTTTCATCAGCAATGACTGCAAGCAAACACATAACAGCAAAGTGAGTAACACAGAAAAAAAAAATGGGTAGATTTCTGGATACATAATCTACCTGAATCAGGATAACACAGGAAAACTGAAAAAAACAAAAAAAAACCAAGAAACAAGACAGAAACTGAATCTGTAAGACACACACACCTAAAAACAAAAGCCCAGGAATGTGTGGCTTCGCTGATGAATTCCACCCAAATTTTAATGAAGAACTTACTACCAAAAAATTTTTTACATTATTTTTTAAAAGGAAAATTAGCAAATCCCCTGAAAATTCCTTTTAGGAGACCAGAGAAATGGACAGCAGAGAACCATAAATCAATACCCCTGAGGAACACAGATGCAAAAATTCTCAACAACATCAACGAAACAGGAAGCAAGATTCCTACTGTATACCTTATATAAAAATAAATTGAAAATCAATCATTTTGGATCTGACATCATCAAATTACTAGAAGGAAACATCTAGAAAGGGAAAAAAAATGCTACAAGGCAAACCAAAAGGAAATATTAAGGATACTGTTGCCAAGACACAGGCAGTAGGCAAAACTTTCGAGAAGATCCCAGAAGCAAAGAGAATGAAAGTTCATAGCAAGAAGCACAGATGAGGTTTTCCGCTGGAAATGTTCCAGATACACTTTGTCTCCATTCCCTCTTCACCACTGTCAGCCAGTCCTTTGAGACTGGGATACCCTAGACCTATGGGCTAATGAGGAGCTCTGAGCACTGAGTCACTGAGCCCCAAGCATCCTACAAATGTAAATAATGAGCCAGCACCTTAGGACCTGGACTGGCATTCTGTTCTACGACAAATACCACAGTGAGCACCTGCCCGAGGAGGACCTGGCGTGAGTGTGGCTAATCTCAAGACCTGAGCCAAGAATCGTGAGGCGCCACTGCATGAGGGGGAAGAAGAGGAATAATGGAGTCCTCACCCTGGGCCATGCCTCAGCTGAGAGTCATTCCGGCCCGGTAGGTGCTGGGGGAGGAGGGGCTGTTAGAGAGATCTGGGAATGTCAGAAGAATTGTTTTCTCATAGTCAGGATGAAAATGGTTGTTGCGATAGACAGAGGGAAAGCAGCCAACACAATGTGTTGGCAGTTCGTGGTCCTCCAAACAGGCCTGGATAATCTCAAAGTTTTTTCTTTCCTCTCTTGTCCCGTCCAGCAGGACAGTCAATGGGGGGTCGCAACCACCTAGGAGAGAATGGGGGACGAGAGACATGAAGAATGGACAGCAAGACAGGATGTCTGATCAAGCTGTCAGTTTATTGATTTTAATTGAGGGTTTTTATATTCTCCAGTAACTAAGACTCAGGGAGGAAAGGAGACACTAGGATGCAAGCCATGGTCTCCAGACCCATTGTTCTTGAGCAGCCACCATATTAACAGTAGTAACCAGCATATCGACAATAGCATAGGTAATCAGTAACATGATGTTGGCAGGTACAGCATAAATCACATTCTAAAACAGTTGCTAGAAACAATTGAAGCTAAGCATGTGATTAGTTTCATAACTTCTTTCCCAAGCATCTAGCCAGCCAGGGATTTTCCACTGGCCCATAGTTCTATATTCAAAATGGCTTCAGTGTGGCTACAGTACATGGTTCCTGACATGGCTTCAGTGTGGCTACAGTACACGATTCCTGACATGGCTTCAGTGTGGCTATAGTACACGGCTCCTGACACTCTCTCATCCACAAGTCTTCCCATTGGGAGAAAGGAGTGGCCACTGAGTCTATATCCTGCCTCTGCAAACACAAGCATGATCATGAAATTGAGCATGCCAGCAACCAAAGCATCATGGAACGTATGCTCTGTGATTTCAATAGCTTGCTCCATTGCACTACATCATCTGTCAAGTTGCATTTGCACACTTCATCTTTTTCTAGAAGACAAGTTCAACATTTAGATAGAAGGAAAAGAAGCCACATGTGGACCAGGGGATCGGACTCCAGTCCACGTGGCCAATCTTGCCCGCTGGGGACCCAAGCAATTGTTTCAGACTTCTGTCTTTTCAGGAAGAGTATCCCTGATTACCGTGCTCTGACGCCGTAGCTGGAGTGTCAGATTCCATGCTTACTGCAGGAGCTGGAAAGAGCTTGACAATGGATCCCAAATGTACCTGATGTTTTGATCTGCTGTCGGATAACTGGGAAAGAATGGACATCCTTAATGCATCAGACACAGAGAAAATAAACTTTTTGTATCCTGCCCACTGCACTGTTTATTTTCTTTTAATATATTTTTATTACATTTAATTTTATAACAACTTTTCATAAGCTCTGAGGTTCCCCCTTCCCCTCCCCTTGCCCTCCCCCTGTGGTGGATTGCTCCAGTATTACAGTTCAAATCTAGTCTTGTTTCTTTCAATGCAAGCATGTGCCTTGCCTAGTGTCCAGTATCTTATTGCCCAGCTGAATTCAACAGTTTCTTGGGGAGACCAACTCTGGTCTGGAGACATAGCTGGAAGATTATCGTTCTGACCAATTAAATGCCATAACATAACATCAACGACAGTTTCCGACATGATGGGGTTAATTAACATTGTAATAGTACATTTCACAGGTACCCTTTTACAAATTGTCAGCATTTCAACTTAAATTAAGGCAAACATGCACTGTTTATTTCTGTGCTGTGTTGGTGCGGAAGGTCTTCTTGGGATCCTTGACACTAGCCATTGTCATCCATGTTGACTCACTGAGGAGATCACATCAAGTGAAGGATGAATTGGAAATGGCAGCTGCCTATGTGTTCTATAAATAATAACAAATGGACCCAAGCTGGACAACATACATTTTAGGCAATGCTGTTATTAATTGATTCTTTTGTTTAATCTCTCAACTGAAATATTTCCTGCCTTCATATTATACTTTCCCTTTTTATAGGAGATTTTGTTGCTTTTATTTTTACAAGAGAGGATTTCAAAGCTGACAGAGACACAGCCCAAAGAATGTGACATTATTTTGGATCCAGCTTTTTTTTTTTACAATCCACGCACAAATTTTTGATAAGACATCTTTTGTACAATTACAAAATCATAGATTCCAACTATTTTCTGTGTTGAAATGATTTCGCACTTTAATTTCTATTCATCCTAAAACCTTGGAGCGTATAAATATACCCTTATAAACATACATACTCTGTACTGGAGGACAAGCAAAGATATTCTTTCTGTGATTGTACAGATATTGTGTTGCACAGAGGAGGCATCACCCGTCTCTATTCCACATTGAACAAATATTTCGCGGGCTCAGAATAATAACTTTCTGTGGTGTATGTGGCTTCAATACACCTGAGGCTTTCCAAGTTTTATCTGCAACCTTCTCAGGAATGCACAACAACTCGACACAACATGATCACATCGGCTTGTGTCTCATAAAGGACACGTAAAGGTTAACATCTACAACAATGCTACTGCTTTGGCTATTCCGAAACAAAGGCAGGCACTGTTTTAGATATGGGAGAAACATAGAGTCTGGGGTGGAAATTGTTTTGTCTGCAATGAGACATATTGTAGAGTTAGGCATTACTGTAGCTTCCAGTACTTTGGATCGTGGTATTTTTTCAGTTGAATCTTGTGATTTCCATCAGGATGGAATTCTGTGTTGAAAAAAAAAGCATCGGGGAAGACATTTAGGTTTTAAACATTCCCTGGATGTTGTACTGTTTTAGAAATGAGCATCACTCTGTTCATAGCCAGTGGAGAATACCGGCATGAACACAAAGGGGTGGAGAGCTTGGTACACGTTTGACTGAATGACTTTAATGAAAATTGGAAGTTCCTCAGAGACAAGGATAGTAGTTACAAACCGAATGATTGTTAAAAGGCATAGGATAAGACACCCACCTCCCACACACGGGAGAGCCTGGATTCATATCCAGGTCTGGTCAGACTCCAAGTTCCTGCTAATGCAGATGCTGCGAGGCCATAGGGATGGCTCAGCTTCTTGGATTTCTGCAGCATCTGTGGCATTCCTGGATAGCATGCCAGTCCCAGTTCCATTTTGGTCCAACCAGAAACAAGGCAGCTTTTGGGAAGTGCACCAGTGAGAACGCTCTTGTTCCCATTTCCGTTCCTGCTACTCATAAAGACAACTCTCATCTGAGTGCGTGCTTCCATGTGAACAGCAAGAAAATCAGAAAACTAAGAAAGATTAAACTTTACTCATCACAACGGCCAAAATAGTTCTTGATTGTGAGGCCGCAGCTTTTATTCCGTGTTTACAAAATGCAATCTTTTAGCAGGGAACTTATGAACAGCACAGGTAAAAGCCATGTGTGTGCTCTTAAAATCAAAGTCGATGTATCTGTTCATTAGAACACTGTATTTCTTACAGAGAAAGGAGCTATCTATTCTTTCTGGCATTTGCCGAAAATGGACTTGTTTGGTCTAACGCTGTTGGTCTTCTAAGATTTTTAGCGGAGTGTTTGCACAGCAAGTGTGACAGAGGAAGTGAAAAACAGAGAAGCCATTCTTGAGAATTCTAAAAAGATTGAGGTTGTTACCATCGAGGGAAATGGCAGACACAGTTGTGGCCCCAAATGGTTAACACGAGAGGGGTCGTCAGATTATCCCATACACCAAAATGGTTGGACTTCAAACTAGATTTCACCAAAACAAACACGTTTTTAAATTCCATATTCCATAATTCTTTTGAAGAACACTTGTATTGCAGCCATGACTGTTTCATTAAAAATGTATACAGTTCCATTTTCTGTTCCAGAAGGAGTCCAAGTTGTTCTGAAACCCGAAATCTCACGCGTGTTGTCTCAGAATTCCACCTCTTGGGCTTCTCCGAGGATCCAGAGCTGCAGCCCCTCCTCCTGGGACTGTTCCTCTCCATGTACCTGGTCACGCTGCTCGGGAACCTGCTCATCATCCTGGCTGTCACCTCCGACTCCCACCTGCACACACCCATGTACTTCTTCCTCTGCAGCCTGTCCTTGGCTGACGCAGGGCTCACATCCACCATGGTTCCCAAAATGATTGTGGGCAACCTCACCCATAGCACAGTCATCTCCTATGCCGGCTGCCTGACTCAGATGTCTCTCTTCATCATTTTTGTCATCATGGATGATTTTCTTCTGACAGTGATGGCCTATGACCGGTTTGTTGCCATCTGCCACCCCCTGCATTACCAGGTCATCATGAACCCCCGCCGCTGTGGCACCCTACTTCTGCTGTCCTTTGTGGCCAGCCTTTCTGATTCCCTGCTGCACAATGTGATCTTATTACCAGTTGCATGCTTTAAGGAGGTAGAAGTTTCCAGTTTCTTCTGTGATCCTTCTCAACTTCTCAACCTTATTTGTTCTGACATATTCACCCACGACGTGGTCATGTACAGTGTCAGTATCCTATATGGCTTCGTCCCTATGTCAGGGATCCTCTTCTCCTACTATAAAATTGTGTCCTCCATCCTGAGGGTCCCATCTCCAGGTGGCAGGTACAAAGCCTTCTCCACCTGTGGCTCTCACCTCACAGTGGTTTGCTGCTTTTATGGAACAGGCCTTGGTGTGTATCTCAGTTCATCTTTCTCACTCTCTCCCAGGAGGTGTGCAGCAGCCTCAGTGGTGTACACGGTGGTCACCCCCATGCTGAACCCCTTTATCTACAGTCTGAGGAACAGGGACATCAAGAGGGCCACGAGGAGGCTCCTGGGCATGGAAATCTAACCTCAGTACCTCTGTCATCCTCCTCGATTGTAGATTGGTAAAGGATTTGGGTGTCAGAAAACCTTACCTCTCTCAGCACGTCATATGTGAAGCCATCATGGCTTTGTTTTCTGCACATTTTTAAAAAAGATTTACTTTGTTTTTATTGGAAAGTCAGATAGATAGAGAGTGGGAGAGACAGAGGAAAAGATCTTCCACCTGATGATTCACACCCCAAGCAGCCACAATGGCTGGAGCTGTGCCTATCCCAAGCCAGGAGCCAGGAGCTTCTCCCAGGTCTCCCACATGGGTGAAGGGTCCCAAGGCTTTGGGCCATTCTCCATTGCTTTCCCAGGCCACAAGTAGAGAGCTGGATGGGAGGTGAGGCTACCAGGATTAGAATCAGCTTGGAAAGCAGCTGAAGCTGGCTACAGTATTTTTGTGGAAGACCCAGGTTCTGTTCTGACTGGCTCTGGTCTCACCATCACTTCTTGTTGGGGTCTTTGATATGTGGTCCAGCAGATGGGATTTGTGAAATAAAACAATCTAAGAAGCCTAAATATGTGTTGAATCTTTGCATAATGGAGTGCTAAGCCTGTGATTGGGACAGGAAACCAAATATATGCAGCGTAAAAATTAAATTAAAAAGAAGGGTAATAGTGGATGGGGAATGCAGACCTAGTGAGGCCCATTGGGAATCAACACTATGCTTGTAAATATATTTTCTAAATTTATTTTCTTTAGGTAAACCAGTTGTTAGAAGGGAAATAAGAAGGAGACTGTAGAGGAAAAGTCTACTATTGCATTCTGTTAAAATTTCACAACTGTATTTCCATTCTCAAGCTCATGGAATTTGGAAGGCCCAGACAACTTGGCTGTTTTCCCAGCAGTCCTGGTGTGACAGCCCCAGCTCTCACTGCTCACAGGGCATGCCTACAGATGGACCCTCATTTCCCAGTGAGGTCCCTGGCTATGGGCACCCATCCCAGTGAGTTTTGTTGGACCCCGGGGCTGAAGGAGGGTGAGTGGAGTCATCAGAGGTCAGCAGAATAGTGGAGATCATTTGTTTTATGGGAGAAACCAACAGGTGGTGGAAAGAATTCATTCCTTTCACTCTGGTTCATTGCAGAGTAAGTCAGGATATTTACATCACACTTTATAACAGAAACAACTGAATGATTTTATGTGCATGGAGTCTTTCATATATCATGGAAAATGCATAATATCATGATGTTTTATTACCCTTTGTGCAAACTTTTCAAATAATCACATACTACTATGATTGCATGGACGTCAATTCTAAGATATACGCTTAAATCAATAGTTTGGTAAGAGACATAACTTCTAAGTGGAAATTCATTCAAATGATTAACAAGCCATATGTTGCCAGACATCAATTTCTAATGCAAACAAATGCCTTGAAAACAAATAAAACAACAACAACAACAACAAAACTGTGTTGAGTCTAGTAAAATGAAAGAAATTAAAAATGGTATTGCGTTTTTTGGATAGAACATCTAATGCTCTCTTGATTTTATGATTAATCCAATGCTTTCACACACACACACACACACGTTCCATATTCAGTTGAAGTTGAAATCCAAAGTTTGAGTTTTAAGCCAAGATGCTGCACTTGCAAGTCAGCAGCAAAGGAGCACAGGTGAGATGCCTTGTGTCTTGGTCCTACTGGCTAATGAGGAGTTCTGAGCTCAGAGCCCCCAGGGTCTTCCAAGTGTAAATAATGAGCCAGCACCTTCAGACCTTGGCTTTGCCGGTGGAAATCTGGCAGCTTCTTTCTATGATAAATGCCCCTGTGAGCACCTGCAGGAGAAGGAGGACATGTTGTGAGTCTGTCTCTTCTTCCATCCAGAGTCAAAGATGGGAGGCACCACTGCCTGAAGGGAAGGAGAGAAGCAGCAGAGCCCTAACAGGGCTACCCCTCACGTGCTTTCTGGTAAGTTCTTAGGGAGACAGCAAACGGATTTGCACGGATCTGTGGAATGTCAGGAGTATTGCTTTGTCATCAGCGGGAAGAAAAATCCCAGCTGTGTAAGGACAAAGCAGAGGGCTTGTTTTAGCTGCTCAAGTTGTGAAGTTTTATAAACTTGGTTCTCATCAGTGTCTCCAAGATCTCATCCTGAGATTGTTTTTTTTCTTTCCTTCCCACTGGCATCTCCTTCATGACAGTAGCCACTAAGTCTGTATATAAACTTCCTTCAAATTTCCAAACATAATTGTGATCGTTATGATAAGACTTCCGGTAATCAGTTTGTGAATTAGACCACCTCATCCTACTGTTTAATGCCTCAGGGCACAGAACACATATCCTTTCACTTTATGTAGAGAAGAGCTCAGCACTTTTGGGTAACTTTCTTGTGTCAGCTGTTCAGGTAGGAAGTGAAGCCACTTCTGAACCAGGAATTGGGTTCCAGACGCTATTGTAGCATGGCCACCCTCCCCTTCTCATGTCCCAAGCAATCCTTTCATGATTTTTTTCCTCTGGGAACAGAGCTGCTGATCACTGTTCTGTCTCTTGTGGTTTGCTTGTAGACCACAGTGGGCAGCAGCCAGTAAGTCATGACCAAGTTCAAAGCTAACATCACAGAAAGGGCAATCACAGGGTCATACAGGAACAGCCTTCTCTTGACCCTCTCTAGGATTTCACATCAGCCTTCAACTCCTTGCACGCCTCCTGAAATCACTCCACTTCATGTGAAAAAGTAACACGAAATTGAGGTGTTAGATCCCAATTCTACTGCAGGAAACGCAGAGAGATGAACACAGGAGCTCAGAGGTACCTCATGTGACCTGTTGGAACTCTACTGAAACATTCTGATGCTTGGAGCCAGTGGAGATCGCTAATACAGCAGACCCAGGGACAATGTCATTTGCAAGCTAGTCTACTCAACTGACCACTCTTCTTCTGTGGGGTGGGTTCTCAGAATCTGTGACAGTGGGCACGGCCAGCTGGCAAAACTGGTGCCTCCGTGGCAACACTGCTTTGAGCAATGAATGACCTTGTCATGAAAGGTTGCTCTCTGTAACAGACGGATATCCAAAGATGGATAAAATATGCTTTAGCTATTGTGATTGGGATTTGAAAGTTAATCTTCATAAATTTTAATGAAATATAACTTGGTTAACACTATTCATTTCTGTCTCTCTACTGGTACTTGTTACTCCTGCCACGGTCTGAGAGAACTTCAAATGTTCGTGGAAAACAGGAGCAGTTGTGGACAATTCTCAAACATTTTTTTTCTAATAATCTACATTCAAGTTTTTTGATAACATTTACTTTCCACATATAGTTATACCAAAAAGAGTTACACCAAGAATGATTTTTGCATTAAATGAAACACACTTTCAGCATTCCCAAAGCATGTTTAAGCCAGAGCATGTCCCCACAAAGGTGGACTCTGTGTGTTTGGGAAGAATGACTGACTCCCACGCCTGCATGTGTTGCTTACACAGAGGAGGCCTCCAGGGCCTATGTATTCCATCCTGAACCGAGTGGTCCATGCCTCACGGTCACTGGCCCTAGCCAGTGTGGCTTCCACACATCCACTGCTGTCTTGCCAGTAACTTGATCCCTTCCAGGAATTTGATGGAATCAGGGATGCATGGGCACATCGGAAGAGCATGGGCTGGTAAGTCCGAGGTGGACATGAAGGTCTGGTAACTTCACTTCATGGAGTCTACAGTACAACTCTTCTTGAGGAATCCTGACAAACGAAGGCAGAGATATTCAGGTGTGCAATAAAAGAAGCAGATGAGGCAGATGTTCTACCTGAGGTGAGACACGTTATAAAACTGGGCATCATTGCAGCTTCCGGTCTGTTTTGACCATGACTTTCAGGATAAACTTGCTCTTTCTGTGACAAAATCCATATTAAAAAATAAGAATAATAAAAACCACAAGACGTGTGCAAGTTCTAACCTCCCCCTGGATTCTAAACCTGTCACAGATACGAGATGTTCTGTGTATTTCCAGAAGATGATGGAATTACAGAGAGGTGGCAAGATTTGCAGGCATGTGTGTATCCCAGGTGAATGATTCTTGAGTGGCATGCTGATTTCTTTATATCTTTCCCATCTCACTGGTTCCACCATTCAGCAGAAAGAAATCAATATCCCCCTCTCAGGTGAGATCTCATGAAATGACTGCTTCCAAACATTCCACTGCGAGATATTGATTGTTCATCTTAAAGGACAGAGAAGGCAGTAATCATTTTTTTTCCCAGGACAGCAAATACAGCCGGTGTATAGCAAGATGGCATTTTAAACCAAAACCAATTTCAGGAATGGTCTTTAAGAAATTTGCACATGTGAGACATCGAGAGAGGTACAAAAATTATGAAAATGTGGTCATTGTAATAGACAAGGCAAATTATGTCCTCCCTGGCAGGGATGGGACAGACCCACGGATTAAACGAGATGCGTGTGCCCAAGAGAAAGAATAAAAATCAAATGTCAGAGCACACTCCGGCATTTAGCGGTAGTATGTGCAATGCACTTCTTAAAAGGACTATGAACATGTTTCTTGCAGTTTGTAAAGAAAACTCTTTCGGTGCTCTGAAATCAGTGCTGACATAAAGGAGTTTGTGTTGTGCTGCTGTGGATGAGAGCTCCACTTGGGAAGACCACAGACTACGTCACAGTGCTTGTGGCTGCTTGATCACTCCACTCCTGATCCATTCCTGTTCTTGTGCCCCTTGGCGTACACCAGATGTTAATACAAGACATGAGTTCCTGCCATCACGTAGGAGACTTGGCTGCAGTCTCTGGCTTCAGATTTGTTAGGTATTATGGGCATTTGAGGGAGTGAACCAATGGATAGAAAATGGCTATATCTTTCTGCCTTGGGAATAAAAATGGAAAAGTGATGAAAATAATATAAAATTTACAGCAACTGCCTATAATAGTCCCTGAGGGCCATATTTGTTGTTCACTTACAGATGAAGAAATTGCTTGAGTGTGTTTTATATTATTTGATTTCATGGGCTCTAAAGGATAGAAATTAC